CCCTAGGGATGTATGTCTTGGAATAGGCCCCTTCTGAGGTCCTTGAGTGAAGGGGGATGGTTCAACAGTTCTCCAACACATGGTTTCTCCTCTCCCGCTGTTCTCCCTTGCCCCCAAGCTTAGGGTAGGGCCCAGGGGCCCAGAGAACCCTGCTTCCTGCTTGCTAATTAAGGCAGAGGAAGCCTCCCTCATGCCCTCCCCTTCCAGGATGCTCTGAGGGGTTCAGTCCTTCCCAAAGGAAACTTTCTTCCTCCTCCCCTACCCCAATCTCAGCCCGCAACCTGGTTCACCCTGAGCATCAGAGGATGGGGTAGCCTTAAGATGACCTCAAACCCGAATGGTAGGAAGTCTTTGCAGCCACTGCCTTTTCTTTCTAGAAGCTTCTGGGAAACTGAAGGTCCATGCTGGTGTCCTGCCCAAGGTTGTGGGTTTGAGCCACACTCAGTGGCCTTGGGCCTCTGCCTTTGGGACAGACTTCCCCCACATGGCCCGGACCCCGGCTCATCCATGATGATAGGTTAGGTCACTTCCTAGCTAGAGCTGACATGAGCTGGTCAAGGCTCATTGGCGGACAAGGCTGGGGCTAAAGCCGGGTCTTTCTTGCATATGTGAGGCTGTGAGCCATGTCCGGGTCCTGGCCCTCTTCACGAGCCAGTGGATGGGCCTGAGAGATGGTCACCCTGCATCTACCCTGCATCTGGCCAGCTCCGGTTTGATTCCCAGCCCTGCATGACGTCAGGAGTACAGAGGCCCTGAGCACTGCGTCCCACCTCCCTCCCCTCCCAAAGTGATCAGAGTAACCAGAGCACCGAGTTGCAGGGGCCCAGCGGAAGCGGGCAGGCTGTGCTGGCCACAATGTATCATCTGTCTCCAGGAGGCTGCTGCATCCCTGCCTTGCAGAGGCCTCCAGGGGCGTTGGGGAGTCAGCCTTGCACCCACCCCAGGTTTTCCATTCTGATGGGGAGGATAGAGACCGCTGGGAACAGAGCCAGCCACAGCCTCCACCACCCCGGAGCCGATGCTGTCCACGTTCTGCCTTCACAGGCCCATCATCCTTCGTCCTTGCTCTGTCCACCTCTCAGTTACCAGTTACAAGGGGTTGGAGAATGATGACTCACTTGGCCAGGAGCTCCCAGGAAAGTTCCCGAGCCTCAGAGCATCAGACGTCCTGTTCTTGGGTGAGGCAGTCCCGGGACTGCCCAGGCCCGCAGGTGGTGTGGGGCGGGGTGGGGGTGGGGGTGACCTCCAGGACAGGACACAATCGCATCTTGGTTCGAGCCTGGCAGGAGGGAAAGTGGGTAGGAAGGAGCCCCGGGGAGCTGATAAGGAAATAAAAACAAGGGCAGCTGGGAGGAGGAGAAGGCCACGGTGTTCTCCCCACCAAGGGGGAAGAATGGGCGCAGTGTTGGCACACGGGCACATGGCCCCCTGAGTCACCCGCGGGGGTGCCGCCATCGGGGACCTGGGAGGCTGCTCTGACGTCACCCCGGCCCGGGGAGTGCAGGGCCATGCTCGGCTCCCTGAGGCGCCCGCATGCCCCGGTGAGGTGGAGGCACAGGGCAGGGCAGACAGGCCATGGGTCGCTGCCATGGAATCACCATTCAATGTCCAGTGGCTGCAGAGCCCCACAGCTCACGGGAGGGGAGTGCAGGGAGGTGGGGTCCTCAGTCTCCTAAGGCACAAATCTCTTCCTCCTCAAGGCAGCCACGGGAGGGTGGTCCTGTCTCCCAGGAGGACACGAGCGGGCGGGCCTGTGCCCACAGGCTGGGAGGACAGAGATAGAACCTGGGTCAGCTGCGTGCAAGGCCAGCGTCCTCCCCACTATACCTCCGCTCTGGCCCCTATGGCTGGATTCCTGAGGTCACCCTCAGCCTGAGCCGCTCCACGGGGGGCCAGGGGGTCTCCTGGACATTGCTCTCATCTGAGAATCTGCTTTTCTTTCCACCTGGAAGTCCACAGGGCCAACTCTGGCTGTGTGCTCGGGGGTCACTCCTGGCAGAGTTCAGGGGTCCCTAGGCAGGACTGAGGATTAATCAAACCCAGGCTCAGCTGTTTGCACCGGAAGCACCTTAATCCCTCAACTATGCTCTGACCGAAGATCCGTTTATAAACAGAGTTGGGTTGTGGAAAACATCCCTCTCCACGATTCTGTGAATCAGCTGTGACCCTGCAATGCCACGGCCATGCATGATTTCACTCTGATGAATTCGAAAGCTTGTGTCTGCCCGAGCTTTGCGGACCATGTTCTGTGACAATATGGGTGATGTTTCCAGGCAATTTTGACCACCAATAGCAGCTAACTTTTCTTTTCCTTTTCCTTTTTTTTTTTAATTGTTGTTTTTTCATTCCTTGGTCATCTAAAGTTATAGACACTCCCCCATCCCCTCCTCTCTCAAAAAAGCACCTCACCGTTCTATGTAGAATTATTAGGCCGTATCTAACCGCACACAAAATGAGCACAATAGTTGACCAGCATTCTAGAAATTTCTTTGGAGGACTGGGAGTTTGGACCGTCAGAGCCAGGACTTACTCCTGGGTCTGTGTTCAGGCTCTCTCCCGGCACTGCTTGGGGGAACTTCTGCAATGCAGAGATTTTCTTTTTTTTTTTTTTTAATTTTTATTAGTGAAACACCATGAGGTACAGTTGTAGATTTACAAATTTTTGTGCTTGGGTTTCGATTATACTATGATCAGGTACCCATCCCTCTACCAGTGCCCATTTTCCACCCCCATGGATCCCAGTATCCTTCCCACACCCATCCCCCCTTCCCACCCTGCCTCTGTGGGAGTACAAAGATTTTCTAAACCCACAGCGGGGACTTCGGCAGCCTGAGTCTGATTATGGACCCTCCTAATGTAGATGCCCTCTGGGTTTTGACCCCTGGCACCTGGGCTGAGTGCTGAGCTCCAGACCGGGTCTTGCCAGGCCTGCTCCAACCCTGTCCCCACCGTCTGCCCCTGCCAGCAGTGGCCCCGAGTCTAAGGCAGGCCCACAGGAGCTGAATGCACTGGGCACTCTCTAGTACGCAGGAGGCCTGGGCTCCATCCCCGCCACCCCCTGGTCTCTGAGCATCAGTGGAAGCTCCCGAGCACCAAGGGTGGCCCCAAACCGAAAGGGGGGCCGTGTGGGGGAGGAGGAGAGCCCGTCTGCAAACCAGGGTGGTGGGCTAAGGACCTAAACACAGGCAGGACCCACCAGGTCACAGCTGGCCTGGTGGGAAGGTCACTGCATGCGTCCCCGTCCCAATTGACGGCGGCAGAGGGTGAAGAGCACCCAGCCAGGAGCAGCAGCGAGGCTTCCCACACCCACCTCTGAGTTGTAGGGGTACAAGGCCTGCTGGAGCTCAGGAGAAGCCCCCACCTGACGGCCCCGAAGAACAGGAACGGGGATTGGTGAGAGTCTGAGACTTTCTCCAAGTCAGGGCAGTGTGCTGTGTTGGCAGCTGTGCTGAGGAAGGTCAGAGGGCGAGAGATGATGTCTGGGGTCAAAGGTCAGAGGTCAGATCATACCAGGGGTCAGAGGTGAGGTGTCTGGGTCAGGAGGCATCCAGGAACTCGAAGAGGTGGCGTAAAGCCTGCTGGGTGGAGGAGGGTGGGACCCGGGTTCCCAGGAAGTCAAGAATGGAGTCCCCATGCCAGGTGCCCCTGCAGGTAGCAGGGAGCTGGGCAAGACCCTGCCAGACTATGGTGTGTCTGTATGCGGGCATCTGGTGGAAGGAGGACACCAGGGTGACATCCCAGGAGCTGCTTCCTGCCTGCCCCTCACTGCTCAGTCTCACAGGGGAGCAGGGCCTGGCTGTGCCCGCACACAGCCCACCCTCGTGCTCTCGGGGTCGGCAGGCAGGTGTGGGCTGGATTCTGGAGCTGCATTTCTCCTGAGCGACAGGTGAAAATAGAACCCAGGGCCAAAGAGATGATACCTCGGGGCTGAGCACAGGCTCTGGAGGTCAGAAACAGGGTTTCTGACCCCAGCAGCTCATGGTCCCCTGAGCACTGGCAGGAAGGAATCCCTGTATACAGAGGCTGAGATGGGTGTGGTCCCCAAACCAGGGGAAGGAAACGCAACTTAGAGGGAAATGATTGAGAGAGTGTTTTGTTTGTTTTTCTTTTGGGTCACACCTGGAGATGCTCTGTGCTGACTCCTGGCTCATCACTCAGGAATCACTCCTGGTGGTGCTCGGGGGACCATATGGGGGTTGAACCCGGGTCAGCTGCATGCAAGACAAACTCCCTCTCCACTGTACTATCATCCCTTAGGCCTCTGAAAGAGTGTTTTTTTTTTTTTCAACAAGTAAAGCCCGGTAGGAAGTTTGAGTCTCTGATACATGTGGAGGACGGAAAGGGCATGTATTTACCCAGGCCAGGGTGCCCACAACTGCATTCTCCCTTCGCCACGCGGTCCGCAGCTGTATACCGCATTGGGATTTTGTCTTCTCGTTCTAGAACATTCTCTGGGCTGAGCTGTCAGAGTATGGTTTTTTTTTTTTTGCTGTTGTCTCCCAGAGCCAACATTCACGGAAATGTGCGCTGTGTGTGCACTTGTCTTAGCTCTTTAGCAAGAATGTTCTGGGACTTTCTGTGGTGTGGGGAGAGGCATCGTGTTTAACCAAACCTGTTTACATTTGTATTTGACCAACACCCCCAGATGTGCAAAAGTCTAATCCAACTAACATATTTCTCCTCATGTCTCCTGGGCCCAGACAATCAATATGGCCTCAGTTCTCCATCCACGAGAGCCGTCAGCCTCCTGGCCCCGTGATTTTTCTCCCTGGTGTCTGTCTCTTTTCTTAATCTTCACGGTGCCTCTGCTAGGTGGCCAGAGGAAGACCAAAGCGTTTCTAGACGGAGAGTAGCGGGGAGGGCACTGCCCGGGTCAGGAGTGACACGCAGGCCTGTTAGTTGGGCTAGCCCAGCAGGCTGATTAGATTTACGAGCCTCCGAGATTACCGTCTTGTGACAGCTGAAGTTCAAGAGCTTTCTAAGAACGCAGTGTCAGCGCCATGGGAGCTATTGGTACGTGCTGACCACAGCTTTCGCTCCAAGGGACAGCCCTGGGCTCCCTGCAGCGACCTGTGCCCTAGTGACAATGGTCAGCCTCTGCGCCCATGCGTCTTCAGAGCCGAGAAGTAGGGCCCGCTCATACCATGTCTTCCCGGCACTTCCTCCTGGGGCTGGCGGCGGGGACGGCCCCTTCCTCTCACTGCTTCAGTCCTAGATAACCCCTGCCAATTTGTCCTTCATGCGTAATCAGCTGCGAACTTGTCAACCAGGAGATCAGAGGTGCTGCCCCAGAGAGTAATGGTTTTCCTGAGAAGCTTCTGAGAAGCAGGAGATAGTGGGGTTCCCAGATTTTTCTAGGGTGTTGGGGGAGGATGTGGGGAAGGGGCCATAAATGCCTCCTGCTGTTCTCTAGAAAGCCCAGTGCCAGGTCAGGGAATGGGCTCCTGTGCTGCCCATAACCTTGTCTTCATGGAATGTTCCAGAAGCCCGTGTCCTCACCAGGTAGCCACACTCTTCATGGCCTGAAGATAAAACAAACAGGCTGGTGGGCCCTGTGCATGCTCTGGAGAGTAGGAGGTTAGAGAAGGCTCCCTGAAGGAGCGTGGAGTATTCCTGACAGGGAGTATTCATGATGGCAGAGAGTATTTCTGGCAGAGTATCATGGTGGCAGGGAGTATTCCCGACAGGGAGTATTCCTGGTAGGGAGTATTCGTGATGGCAGCAACTATCTGTGATGGCAGGGAGTAGTCCTGACAGGGAGTATTCCTGGTGACAGGGACTATTCCTGACGGAGAGTATTCATGATGGCAGGGGAGTAGTTCTGACAGGGAGTACTCATGATGACAGGGAGTATTCCTGGTGACAGTGAGTATTCCTGAGAGGGAGTATTTGTGATAACAGGGAGTATTCATGATAACAGGGCATATTCTGACAGAGAGTATTTCTGATGACAGGGAGTATCCATGATGACAGGGAAGTATTTGTGATGACAAGGAATATTTCTGATGACAAGGAGTATTAACCCAGGCACCAGGCAGGCCTAAGGATGACAGGGAATATTCCCGACAGGAAGTATTTCTGATGACAGGGAGTATTCTGATGGGGAATTTTCTTGACAGAGGAGTATTCTTAATGATGGGGAGTCTTCCTGACAGAATTATCGTTTAAGACAAATGCCTGGGAACCCATGTGTCTAGCAAGCAAATAGTGAGGGATGACCAGGGTGAGCCCAGGAATCAGGTAACCCAGGCACCAGTTGGGCCCAGGTACCAGTTGGACCCAGGCACCAGGTGGGCCAGGTGGGCCCAAGTATCAGGTGACCCAGGTCCCAGGTGACCCAGGTCCCAGGTGAGCCCAGGCACCAGGTGACCCAAGTACCAGGTGGACCCAGGTACCAGGTGGACTTGGGCCTGCTGGCGAGTGCCCCTGGTGCCACCCTCCAACACTTTCTGTGCCCTTGTGGACCCCTCACCAAAGCCCCAGGATGGTGGTCACTGGCAGGGCCAGCAGGACACTGGTTTCTCCTGGGGGCGGACGGGCAGGCAGGTGGGGGAAGTGGCTGGGGCCTGTCTTCCCGGCAGGTTCCCTGTTCCGATGGTTCATGGACTCCCCCAGGAAGCTAATCCCCGAGCACTCAGGCGCTGTTCCGCCCACCACTCTGCAGAAGTGGGACGCGGGGCTGGGGCTGGGTGTGTTGCGGGTACCGCCTGCCCAGGCCGCCGGCTCTAACCCTGGCTTCTGGTTTCCTTGCAGGGTCGTCCAAGTCACGTGTGAGTGTCTCGTCCCTGCAACGCCCGTGTGCAGCCCCTCCCGTCGGCCCTGCTCTGGAGGCTCTCTGCTCTGTTCATGCGCGTCCCCAGCCCATGTGGTGCCCCCGACCCCAGGGAGGGCCCCCCAAGATCCCATACAGGTCGCTGCAGCCGAGGGGCTGCTGCATGGAGACCCCCTGGGCCACAGGGCCCAGCCCTGGCTTCAGTTCACGGGGTCTCTGTGCAAGGTTGGGGGTCCAAACCGCCGAGTCCCCGCGGTACCTCCCGGGTCTCCACACCTTGTGCTCCCTGCCTGCTCCCCCGCCCTCCGGGGCACCGGCCTGAGCCCCGGCTGTCTGTCTCCCGCAGAGTTGCTTCGGGTACCCCCTGAGCATCTTCTTCATCGTCATCAATGAGTTCTGCGAGAGGTTCTCCTACTATGGCATGCGAGGTGAGTGCCCGCGCCAGCCTGCGGGTCCCTGGGGGTGGCTGCTTCCCTGCCCACCCTGACTCCTGTGCGCCTCCCTCCGCCCAGCTCTGCTCATCCTGTACTTCCGGAACTTCCTCCTCTGGGACGACAACCTGTCCACGGCCATCTACCACACCTTCGTGGCCCTGTGCTACCTGACGCCCATCCTTGGGGCCCTCATTGCCGACTCCTGGCTGGGGAAGTTCATGTGAGTTGTGGCGTAAGCAGGAAGTGGGGGCGGGGAGGGGGTTCTGGAGAGAGGGGGTGCAGACAGGAGCTGGGGGGGAGGCCGGAACCAAGAGTGGAAATTGGAGAGCACAGAGCGTGATGGCGAGTCGCAGGGACGGCTCCTCCGCCTCTAAGGCATGGCCTTCGTCTGCCTTTAAAATAGCAGCAGGGCCCCGTCCACGCTTAATAATGTGTGAGGCCGGAGTCAGGGGCTAGGGGACACCCCAAGAGGCCCCCCAAGACCCGTCCTGCAGAGAAAACTCACGCTCCTCTCTGCATGCCACTGGGTCCTGCGGGAGTCGCTCTTCCAGGTCTGAAACTTTTCGAGCACTGAGCGAGGGAAGGAAGGAAAGATCCTTCCGGGCCAGAGGCGACATGGACAGCAGGAGAAATGGGCCTGGTCTTGAAATAACTCGAAAGCATTCGATAGGACACCAGCCAAAAGTCCGTACATGCTCCAGCGCTGGTGATCGACCCGGCCTGTCACTGTGGTCGAGTCCTGCAGCCCAGCTCACCCCGCATGCACCCTCTAAAGTCCCCCCAACACACAGACACACAGACACACACAGACAGACACACACACACACACACACTTGCCTCATAAATCTTATGACCCAAAACTTACCTACTGACGACCCTCTGCTACCGGGCACTCACCTGTAACAAGGAACCTGTGTTTTAGCTCACATTCTGGATTTGCTTTTTGCTTTTTGCCTTTTTTGGGGGAGGGAAGGGGGGTCACACCTGGCGATGCTCAGGGTTTGCTCCCAGCTCTGCACTCAGAAATTACTCCTGGGGGCTGGAGCGATAGCACCTGGGGGGGTGGGGGTAGGGCATTTGCCTTGCAGGCAGCCGACCCGGGTTCAATTTCCAGCATCGCATAGGGTCCCCTGAGCACCACCAGGATTAATTCCTGAGTGCATGAGCCAGGAGTAACCCCTGTGCATCGCTGGGTATGACCCAAAAAGCAAAAAAAAAAAAAAAAAAAAAAAAAAAAAAAGAAATTACTCCTAGAAGTGCTCAGGGGACCCTGTGGAATGCTGGGTCTGAGCTGAATACTCCTCTGTCTCTACTGAGCTGGCACACAGGGGCCTGCACGTGCTGGGTTCAGCGGACGGCTCCTCCCGCCTGGCCCCTCTACCCAGCTCTGCCCTCCCAGTGGGCCTGAACCCCCCTTCTCCAGCCGACGCCCGTGCTTTGGCCTTGAAATAGGGGTGGGGTCTTCAGGAGGTGCGGCGGCAGGGGGGATGCAGGGATGTGCACCCCTCCATCCCTGCCCCCGTTCATCTGGACTTCCCGGACCCCTTTGACGGCAGGACAATTGTGTCCCTCTCCATCGTCTACACCATCGGACAGGCCATCACGGCGGTCAGCTCCATCATTGACCTCACTGGCGTGGGCGAAGATAACCAGCCCAACAACCTGAACGTACACGTGTGAGTGACCGCAGTGCCCGCCCGTCTGCCACCTCTGCCCCCTGCCCCAACTGTCCACCCCCTGCCCTCCTCCTGACTGGCCCGGGCTCGGTGCCACTAGTGTGGCCCCAACGAGTCCCTGGTGGAAAGTGCCGATGCCAAAGTCTCATCCGTGGTGACGTTCCCTTCCACCACGGCCTTTGCTGCTTCCTGTCCTTGGGTCGGAGCCCCTGGTGCTGTGCCAACCACCCCTCCCAGGCGGACCCAGCTGGGCTCTAGGCCTGGTATGAAGGCTAAGGCTCTGGCCACACAGGCAGCTGTGACACTGGTTCCAGTCCTGGCAACGCTTGTGGTCCCCTGAGCACAGCTGGGTGTGGCTCCCCCAAACACCCTTCCTATTGTCTGATCGTGCCAGACAAAACTAAACCTTTCCCCCGTCCATTTTTTTTTATTTCTTTGGTGGGTGGGGGGATGACACCTGACTTTGCTGGCTTTGCTCAAGGCTCTGTGCTCAGGAATCACTTCCGGCAGGCTTGGGGGAGTCATCTGGGGTGCTGGGGATAGGAGCCATGTGCAAGGCAAGCGCTCTCCCCTCCTTCCTCCACCCTTCCCCACCCCTGGCCGCCTGTCCACAAACCCCAGACGGCAATCTGCATTCCGTGTTAAAGCTCTGGTTATCACTTGCAGCCCATGTGTCCTCGAGGCAGCATTCCTGGAAGTTATCTGCTCCCTGCTGTACCCCCTTGCCTTCAACCCAGGCTGGGACCCCTGAGGGAGGGAGGCTGTGTGCAGGAACCCCTCTTCCTTCCCTAGGGCTCTCTCCATGATCGGTCTGATCCTCATCGCCCTCGGGACGGGAGGCATCAAGCCCTGCGTGTCGGCCTTCGGTGGGGATCAGTTTGAAGAGGGTCAGGTGAGATCATGGCTCCCTAAAACCCAACTGGGACAGAAATACTTCCAGGCTTAATAAGTAAAACATCAGAAGTCCAAAATCACACGGCCGCAACATCATTTGGTTCTTGTAACCAGCTGTAGAAAACAAATTATTTCACAATGCCTTTTCAGCAGGTCTGATTTCGCGGTGTAAACTCTAAACAATAATGGTGCATCTTTTGTCGAAACAATGAATCTAATCAAAGTAGATAGAGTATTAATTAGAATTCATCTGCCGGGGCTGGAGAGATAGCACAGCGGGTAGGGTGTTTGCCTTGCACGCAGCCAACCCGGGTTCGGTTCCCAGCATCCCATATGGTCCCCTGAGCACTGCCAGGAGGAGTAACTCCTGAGTGCAGAGCCAGGAGTAACCCCTGTGCAATGCCAGGTGTGACCCAAAAAGCAAAAAAAAAAAAGAATTCATCTGCCTCACAGGCACTGGGAGGGGTGGGAGAGGGGTATATTGGGGTTCTTGGTGGTGAAAAAGAAGTACTGGTGAAGGGAAATGTGTTTGATCATTGCATGACCGAGACTTAAACCTGAAAGCTTTGTAACATTTCCCACAGTGATTCAATAAATTAAAAAAATAATAATAATAATTAAAAAAACCCAGTCGGGAGCTCGGACGCCCCAGGACTCACGGCCCACAGCCTCCAGGCCTTCCCCATGTCCGTGACCCCCGCGTCCCCTCCCTAACCAGAGCCCTGCCCCTTCTCTCTCCAGGAGAAGCAAAGAAACCGGTTCTTTTCCATCTTCTATTTGGCCATCAATGCCGGAAGTCTGCTGTCGACCATCATCACCCCCATGCTCAGAGGTGAGGGGTGGGTGGGAGGGGACCCTGGTTTCTGTCCCAGGGAGAAGGAGAAGGTAGACATCAGCCCTTGTTGATTTTCTCACTGGAACCTGGGAAGGAGCGACCTCCCCTCCCGTTCTCTTCCTTAACCCCCGGGGAAGGGTTGATGAAGAGTCCCCAAGTGCCTGTCCTGGCTCTCAGCCTTCAGACTCTCCCGCCCCGTCCCGCCCCTGCCTTGCCTGCATTCTTGCCTCCCCACTTTGCTCCCTGAAGAGGTGCTTGGGGTCAGTGGGCCAGAGCCCGCCCTCCCCCTTCCTACTGTCTCAGATAGGAAGGAAAGAACAGCTTCCCCGGGGAAATGAGACAGGGACGGGCCGCCAGCACTGTGAGGTCTGAGAATCTCCTTGTGGGAGGGGACTGTTGGGGAATAAACCAGACACGGTCTCCACCCATGAGCTAGGACAAGAGTTAGGGCACCTGCCTCTGTCCCTACCCCGCCTGGGTAAGATCCCCAGCCCCACACGGTCCCCTGAGCACCTACGGGTGCTGTCCTGGAAACTTGCCAGGAATCACCAGGTAACCAGGATGTTCCCGAAACTTCAGAGCCGGAATAGCCTCACACCTTCCGACCCTCGCACAGAATCACCCGTCTGAGAGGCCGGGAACCAGCCATGGGTCTCCTGGGCCTCGGCACCCTGTTTGGCAGGTGCCTTCACTCACTCCCAGATAGCTGTTATTCCTGCATTCTGCACACGCCCCACCCCCACTCCCCCACCGCCTCCAGCTTCTACTGCAACATGTCCACTGTGTGTTGCCATAAAAGCATGTGTTTGGGGACAGGGAGGTGACCCAGTGGGTTGGTGCTTTGTATCAGGAGCCCCTGGATTAACTAGTGGACCAAGCCTAGCCAGAAGAGCCCCCAAGCACTGCCAGGTATGACCCCCGAACAGATAAAATATAACATGTGCAGAGCCAGCAGTGAGTCCCGAACACGCCAGGCAAGAAAGCTTTCGGGTCAGGCTTCCTGGCGGCCCCAGCACCCTGCCGAAAGGATTTCCAGGAATCTCTCTCCCTCTCTCCTTCTCCCTCTCTACCCTCTCCCTCTCTCTCCTTTTGGGCATTGGGGTTTGCAATAGTGATACTGAAAGGTCATCAAGAGTATCCCTTTACCTACTTTTAACCCTCGGCTCTAGTCTAGCCTGATCATCCCCAGCTATTCTTGTCATAGGGAGACCTGGATCCTTCTGATACCCTTTGGAGGATAAAATCCTCAAAGGATGCGGGTACCTGCAGACTCAGACTGGCCGCAGGCTAGGATCAGAGACTGTCTCCATCCCTTATCTCCACTCTGGCTCTGATTGGTCACCCCCAGCAGTGCTCAGGGGCTGCTCCCAGCTCTGTGCCCTGGGATCCTCCCGGCCTTGCCTTGGGGACAAGACTCGGGCCTCCAGCATGCAAAACAGGGGCTCCAGTGCTGAAAGTTCCCTTCCCTGGCCCTCCTGTGCTCACTTTCATTTTTTTTATTTTTTAATTTTTAAAGTTGTTCATGATTTATTACATTCAACATTCCAACACCAATCCCACCACCATTATTTCCGATTTCCCCAACCACCCCTCAAGCCTGCCTCTAGAGCAGGCCCTGAATAATTTATCTTACGTTGCTTATTAGAATTCCCTAAAAATGATCAAAAAATATTTCCTTAGAAGAAGGTGTGTGGGACCAGAGCGAGAGTTCAGTGGGGAGGGCATTTGCCTTGCACACAGCCAACCCGGGTTCAGTCCTCAGCATCCCATATGATCTCCTGAGCACTGCCAGGAGTGATTTCTGAATGCAGAGCCAAGAGCAATCCCTGACCATCACTGGAGGGGACCGAAAAAGCTAAATAAACAAATAAATACAATAAGAAGAAGGTGTGTAAAGATTGTTGTATCTCACCCTGGAGCCATTATCGAGCCTTTCTAGAAGAGATTACTAACATGTTGTCATGGTGAAGCCTTGTGCGTTTATATTTTCTTTTTACATTTTAACTTTATTTTGTTTATTTATTTATGTTTATAAAGCTGTTCGTTATTGAATTGGATTTCAATTATACAGTATGCCAAAACCCATCCCTCCACCAGCGTACATTTCCAGCTCCCCCATTTTGGGCACTATGGTTTGCAATACTGATACTGAAAGATTATCCAGAATATCCCTTGCCTGGGTTTTTTATTTTTTATTTTTTTGCTTTTTGGGTCACACCCGGCAATGCACAGGGGTTACTACTGGCTCTGTGCTCAGGAATCACCCCTAGCGGTGCTCAGGGGACCATATGGGATGCTGGGAATCGAACCCAGGTTGGCCACATGCAAGGCAAACACCCTATCCCCTGTGCTATTGCTCCAGCCCCCCAGGGTTTACATTTTCTTAATCGAGAACGCTTGCCTTCTACATTACATCCCATCCAAGGTGGTGTTGCTACTCCCAGCCCTTTTTAACTCTTTCAAAAAAAAAAAGCTGCTTGGCTCTGCAGGCAAAGACTTTTATACAGCCAGTGGGGTGGGGACCCCGGGAGATAGCTTGGGCCCCAATCTGAACACCGTCCCCCACACCCCGTGGTTCGAGCATCATCGCATCCTCAGGCCCTGGCCCCGAACCCCCAGCCCAGTTAGTTAAATCTCACCGGGAAGGATGCAGACCCCTTAGCAGCACTTGGGAAGACCCCCACATCAATCAATCAACCGATCAATCAATCAAGAGTGTGGGGAGAAGGCTTAAACAGCATGGCTTTGCATGCAGGAACCCCAACTTCCATCACCCAACACATGTATGGTCCCCTAAGCACCCTGGAAGGGATCCCCCCCAAGCACAGAGCCAGACGTGCCTGACACAAAGCCAGGAGGATCCACGTGATCCTGCTGAGATCCGTGCTGCCCCCTGCATGTGCCAGTGCCTCCTGTTTCTCCTGTTTCATCTGTCGTTTCTCCACAGTTCAAACGTGCGGGATCCACACTACGCAGGCCTGCTACCCTCTGGCGTTTGGGGTTCCTGCGGCGCTCATGGCCGTGTCTCTGAGTAAGTAGAATCCAGTCGCCTTAGCCGGGATCACAGGGAGACTCTGCCGGCACAGTGGGCCGGGCAGCATTGGGCAGACCCAAGGGGAAGAGGCAACCGCTGTCACTCACCATCGCTGCCAGACATTCGGTGGGAAAGTTCTCCGCTTCCTAACATTGGCACGGAGGAAATAATTGAAACCGCAGCAGGCAGCAGAGGCCAGGCAGGCTGGGCATTCAGGGGGCCCTGGTGTGGGAGTCCAGCACTGTAGGGCCTCCACCCCAATCCCTGGGCCCTGAATAGGGAGTAGCCCAGGTGAGATTCACACACACACACACACACACACACACACACACAAAGGGGGTGATTGTACAGCAGGGAGGGTGTTTGCCTTGCAAGTGGCCAACCCGGCTTCAATCTCCAGCATCCCAGAGGGTCCCCCGAGCACCGCCAGGAGTAATTCCTGAGCACAAAGCCAGGAGTAACCCCTGTGTATCGCCGAGTGTGGCTTCAAAAAAGGGAGGAAAAAGAGTAAGGATAGAATTTGCCCTTAAATAGTTCTATTGAGTATCTTAAAACTGACCTGTGTTTTAAGAAGTAAAGCTAAGTATCAACACAAAGTTCAACACCTCTGAAGCTTTTGATCCCACACTTTCTAAGTTGGGGCGGGGAGATCCACACCCTGCCCCCCCAGACAGGGTTAGAGCACCAGTAGAAGCCTCTCCCCTGGCCAGCGCCCTCTCCCCTGACACCCCTTCTTCCCTCTGTCCAGTCGTGTTCGTCATCGGCAGCCCCTTGTACAAGAAGATGAAGCCCCAGGGCAACATCATGGGCAAGGTCGTCAAGTGCATAGGCGTGAGTATTCCAGGCTCCTGCCCACGTACCCGGGGCTTTTCTCGCCTCCATGGGAAGGTTCCATCAGGTGCCAACTCGCCTGGAGGCAGTGTAGCTGTGCTCTGGGCTCCCATGACTGTCAAGGCTTCTGCTGGGTGCAAAGGGTGCAGAGCTCACCAAGGAAGGAGGAGAAATGGCTCTTGGGTTCACAAAATAAAATCAGTAGTCAGGGACGAGATCAGCAAGGGGCCAGGAGATAGCACAGTGGTTTGGACTATGTTTGATTCCAGGAAGGAAGCAAAGAAAGAGGGAAGGAGGGAGGGAGGGAGGGAGGGAAGGAGGGAAGAGAGAGAAAGAGAGAGGGAGGGAGGGAGGGAGGGAGGGAGGGAGGGAGGGAGGGAAGAGAGAGAAAGAGAGAGGGAGGGAGGGAGGGAGGGAGGACAGAGGGATGGAGGAAGGAAGGAAGGAAGGAAGGAAGGAAAGAAGAGAGGAAGGAAGGAGGGAGGCAGGCAAACAGAGACCCTTCCCTGCTGAAGGTCAGTGTTAGGAGAACAGAGGAAGGAGCATGGCTAAGTAACGAGTCTCACCACTGATGGTGCATCTCCAACATGACAGTCACTGCCCATAGGTGCCTGTTGGATGCTTGCACTCGACTCAGTGCAACTAGGGAACAGGATTTTAAGTTGGACTTCATTCAAATTAGTTTTAATTGTGCCATGTCCTCTAAATCTATAGGGAGTCTATATTCCTTTTCCTGGTAAACTCTTTTATTTCTCTCAATCATCATGTAGGTTTTTGCTGTAATAAGCTGCCCTGTCTTTTGTTGATGTGTTTGATTCCCAGGTGTCTGAACACTGGGGCGCTGTTTTAAATGAAGTTGTCTCTTATATCTTCTCTTCTAGCTCACTGTTTGTGGGTAGTAATGAAACAGATCTTTGTGTGTTGATTTTGTAGCCTCCTACTTTGCTGTGTTGGCTTACTGCTCCTAAGAGTTTGGTGTGTTTTTTTTTAAGGCGGAATCTTGTGGGTACTAGGGTCTTCTATGCATATGTGCATGGCTGCCACAAATTATAATAGGTCAAATAGCAGCAGTTTTACTTCTCCTTTTCTAGGAAAGGAACCTGCTTTTGATTTCTTCTTTCTTGCCTGATTGCTGTGGCAAGGAGTTCTAAAACTCTGTTGAATAATAGTGGATGGAGAAAGTGGACATTCGTACCTTGTACCTGGTCTCAGGTTTTGACCATTGTCTGTGGGCTTGTGGTCTGTGGCTGTTATGGTTTTGAGATATGTTCCTTCTATCCCTATTCTGTTGTTTGTTTGTTTGTTTTAAATCACAAATGGATATTGAATCTTGTCAAAAACTCTTCCTCCATTGATGTAATCCTATGTTCTTTTTCATCTTTCCTTTTATGGTGTATTACATGTGTTCATTTGTCTATATTGAACCATCCTTGCATCTCTGGAGTGAATTCCACTTCTCATGGTGTATGATCCTTTTGAAATATTGTTGGAGTCAGTTCATAACATTTTGTTGAGAATCTTTGTGTCGAAGTTCAATAGGGTTATTGGTCCATCATATTCTTTTTTTTCTTGGTGATAACTGATTTTGTTTTTTGTTTTGTTTTTAAATTTTATTAATTTTTTATGACGTAGTTCACAATACTTGATTACATTTACTATTTGAACACCAATCCTGCCACCATGATACCTTCCCACCACTATATTTCGGGTGTTTCCATCCAGAACCCCAACCCCTACCCCAAAGCAGAACCAAAATAATTTATTTTGTATTGTTTGTTATGAAAAACTGCAAAAATGCTATTAAAAAATTTCCTTAGAGGAAAGAGTGTGAAGATTGTTGTGTTTCACCCAGGGGCCATTAAGCCCTTCTATAAGAGATCACTAACATGTTGTTAAAGATTGAGCCTTGTGTGCTGTAAAAAAATGTTTCCCTCTAAGATTGGTTGCTTCCCACTTTAAACGCCATCAAATGTAGGTGTTTGGAGTATGGGTACAAATGCAGTACTCTTGGAGTATGGGTGGTGTGAGGTATGAGTTGTCCAGGAATGGATTCACTCGTAGGTGAGACTTGGCCCGAGCATGCGGAGAGCTGCCGTGAGCAGGGCGGCGGTTGAGTTCCAGAGTTTTTCGGCTCCTGGGGGTGGATTCCTTGGGGTGGGGAGGGGTCTCACCTGCCCCCCTCCAGGGCGCCCCATTGAAACAGCCTGGTGCGGGGTCCAGTGGCATGGTTATGGCGTGTGTCGTGTTATGCTCCCTTCTGGGAGAGAAGGACATGTGACTCTGTATTGTGGCCGATGACGATAACTCTCATCTTGGTTTTAGGATGATGTTGGTTTTAGAGAACTTGTTAGGGAGAATTCATCTTTCTTCAGTGCTCTGGATGGAAGAGCTTGAGGAGTCCGAGTAGGAAGTCTTCTTGGAGGACTCAGGAGAACTCACCAGCGAACCTGTTTGGACTTGGGCTTTTGTTCTTAGGGAGATGTTAAGTTCGTGTTTCATTTTCCTTAGGCATGATTGGTCTGTTCAGTCTGCTCCTGCTTCAGCCTTGGGAGCTTGGATGATTCTAGGAATTTATCCATTTCTTCCAGGTTCTCTGGCTGAGTTATTGAGTTGTTCGTGGTAACCTCCGTATTATTCTGTCTGTCTAGGTGTCTGTTGTCGTGTTTCCTCATGGTATTTCTAGTCAATGCCCTGCTCCTCTCTATAGGATTTGAAGCGTGAGGTACTAACAGTGTGACTTTGCCTATCCCCAACTCAAAACTCACAGGTCAACAGAGATAAGAAGAAAAAAATACTTGCTATGCCATTTGGCCTCAGAACGTATTACAGTTGATACTTTGCCTCATTCACAAACATACTTTTCCATAAGAATGTGTTTCAAGATAAAGCAGTTGACATTGGAAATTTTATTTTATTTTTATATAAATATTTTTTCTTGTTTTCTTTAGTTTGCCATCAAAAACAGGTTTCGGCATCGGAGTAAGCAGTACCCTAAGAGAGAACACTGGCTGGACTGGGCTTCAGAGAAATACGACGTGAGTGACCTTGTCACCCCACGGGTCCGTGAGGTTCCACCAGAAGCAGACCCCCCCCCCCCACATGCAGTGCAAGGATGTAGGGCGCCTGGACTAGACCATTCACTGTATCTTCCGATTTTGTTAGCTTTTGTTTGTTGGTTTAGTTTGTGGGGCCACATACAGCCATGCTCAGGACTGACTCCTGGCTCAGCACTCAGGAATTAGCTCAAGTGGTGCTTGGGAGACCATATGGAATTCTGAGGATCAAAGCGCCCTACCCACTGTGCTATCTTTCCGGCCCCTTGTTAGCATTTTATTGAGACCGTGAGAGTATTGGTGTTCTGTGGAAACAATATTACTGGGAGCAATAGTACTGCTCATGGTGCGGCCCCATGAGCCATGCAGAGTCATGGCTCTGGTCACCTCGACCATTTGCAGCAGGCAAGCAAAAGGGCTGTGACGGACCGACCCCAGGTGGGATTCCCAGGCAGACCCCAGACTTCTCTGCAGATGTTTTCACTCACATTGGGAGAAGCCTCGAAGATCTGGGGTTTTTAAGGAAACCCGGGCTCTTGGGGACCGCTCATGCCCACCCTCTAAGTCTCCGGGCGCCCGTGTGAGCACTGGAAGGGGGCCTGCTGTGGGCCACGTGCCCCCATGCCCCTGGCTTCACTGTCCCTGTGTCCCCTGCAGGAGCGGCTCATCTGCCAGATCAAGATGGTCACCAGGGTGATGTTCCTGTACATCCCTCTCCCCATGTTCTGGGCCCTGTTCGACCAGCAGGTAACGGGAAGGCGTCTCTCTCCCTCTCTCTCCCTCCTTCCCTCTCTCTCTCCCTTTCTCTCTTTCCTCTCTCTCTTCCTCTCTTTCCCTCCTTCCCTTTCCCTCTCTCCCTCTCTTTTCCCTCTCTCTACCTCTTCCTCTCTTTCTCTCCCTCTCTCCCTCTCTTTCTTCTCTCTCCCTCTCTCCCTTTCTCTCTCCTGCTCTTTCTCCCTCTCCTTTTTTCTCTCCCTCTCTCTCTCTCTTCCTCTCTTTTTCCCCCTCTCCCTCTCTTCCTCTCTCTGCCCCTTCCACCCCCTCTCCTTTCCTCCATCACATTTTGGGGCACAGCCACTGAACAAGTCTCACTTAGGCTTCTCTCCTCAATTTGTTCTCTTACGCTCCTTTCTGTATTTCTTTTTAAATGGGGGGAGGTGTAGAAGGTGTATCTGGTAGTGCTCGGGGGCTACTCCCAGCTCAGTGCTCATTCACAGCAGTGCTCAGGAGGCCGTGCGGAGCTTGGCGTCAAGCCTGCGGCGTCTGAACACGAAGCATGAGCCCTTTGAGTCTCTCCGCTCTGCTTCCCGGTTTTTCTATTTCGCTTCTTGGCTCCTGGCTGGATCATACTGACGTCTGGTACAACCAGGAGAAAAACTCGATGGTTGGGTCCTCCTCTCTGTTGCCAAACAATAAAGCAAACGGAGTGTGGTCCAGGAGCCCTGGTAAAAGCGGATAAACGTGCCAGGATCCTGGTCAGTGGAGACGGGAAGTGCCTGCTCTGCGTGGCTGTGGGCGTGGCCCGGGGGAGTGCAGCCGGGTCCGCTGTGGGATCCATGGAAGACGCAAGCCAGGGTCTGCGGCTTCTACTCAAAGCTCCAGTGAGCAGCTAGAGGCAGGGTCCAGGGCTCTGAGCGCCTGCTGAGAGCGCTTGTATCCAGGAGAGACGCAATCACAGATCACGGTCTTCTGAGATCCCACCCCATCCTTCCCCACCGCCTCTGGGCACAAAGCTGACAGCTGCGGAAACGCCTTCCTGTGTTTCTGAACTAAAGTTTGATCTCAGCCTGGCACGTGGCCTCCTGGCCTTTAGGGCGGGGGTAGCGGTGCAGTGTGGGGTTCATCTGCCCAGCAGAAATATACATAGGGCTGAGCGATAGTACGGCCGTGGGGGTTTGCCTTGCACGCAGCCGACCTAGGTTCAATCCCCCTGAACCCGTGTGGTCCCCTCGAGCACTGCCAGGAGTGATTCCTGCATACAGAGGCAGGAGTAACCCCCGAGCATAGCCAGGTGTGGCCCAAAAAGAAAATGAAGAAAGAAAATGCAGACTGTTGGCATCAGGCCCCGAGAGGAGCAGGAAGCGGGGGCTGTCAGGAAAACTTTGAATCCCAGACCCCGCCCAGAGGCTCTCTGGTTTCCTGGTTCGGTTTGGTTTGGTTTGGGGTCACACATGGTGATTGCTCATGGGTTTCTCCTGGCTCTGCGCTCAGGAATCACTCCTGACAGAGCTCAGGGGAGCATCCGACAGCCCAGCTGATGGGGTGCATGCTTGACACGTGGCTGATCTGGGTTCACTCCCCTCTGATTAGCAACCACTCCCCAGGGACTCACAAGGCCTTGAAAAGGTGTCTGGAGCGATAGCACAGCGGGTAGGGTGTTCGCCCTGCACGCGTCCAACCCAGGTTCGATTCCCAGCATCCCATATGGTCCCCCAAGCAGCACCAGGAGTGATTCCTGAGTGCAGGGTCAGGAGTAACCCCTGTGCATTGCCAGGTATGCCCCAAAAAGCCAAAAATAAATTTTAAAAAAATAGAAAGAAAATGTGTTTCCTTAGTGACGCAGTTGACACGCTTGTCTTTAAGGGTTCCCGGTGGACATTGCAAGCAACGACTATGAGTGGCACAATGGTGAGTTCAGGGCATGGAGACCATCATGCACCCTCTGCCTTAGCCCCCACTCTCCCCTTTGATGACATTTCCAACCCCTTCTCCCCCACCCCAAACGATCATGCATGGGAATTCATCAGCGTGACTCCACCACCTCTTTTCCAGGGCACAATTGAGATCCAGCCAGACCAGATGCAGGTAGGAGAGACTGTCCCTGGCTGCCCCGGGGGCCAGAGGTGCAGGAGCCCTGAGACCACACTCACAGCCTCTCTCATATGCAGACTGTCAACGCCATCCTCATCGTCATCATGGTGCCCATCATGGATGCCGTGGTGTATCCCCTGATTGCAAAATGCGGCATCAATTTCACGTAGGTGTTGGGGGTGGGGGCTCAGGCTGGGCAGACAGACCACCTCCCTCCAGCCTGCATGCAGTACACCTCCTCCCTCCAACCTGCATGCAGTACCTCCTTCCTCCAGCCTGCATGCAGTACCTCCTCCTTCCAGCCTGCATGCAGTACCTCCTCCCTCCAGCCTGTGCCCCCTCCCTGTCACCCGCTGTCTGTGGAGGGGAGTACTAGGGAGATGTCTGATCTAAATGTCCAGGTGTGCACCCTGCTTCCAAAACGGGGTCCTGGCAGTCACTGCCAGCCCTGGAAAGCCTCCAGGGAAGGTCTAGGCTCTCTGTCCATACTGCTGACAGACATGTTAACTGGACCGCCCAGTACTGTCCAGCACCGGCTCTCAGCCTCCGATTTGATCCACCACACACACTCATGTCTCTCCCCACTGCCCCCATCACTGTGGCAGGAATCAGGGAGGGAGGGAATGGACAGGTCTCCACCCCGTGTTTTGGGGGCTCTGGGGAGCCTGGAATGAGTCCGGCCCCCTGTCGCTTACAGCTCCCTGAGGAAGATGACGGTGGGGATGTTCCTGGCCGCCTTGGCCTTCGTGGCAGCGGCCATCGTGCAATTGGAAATTGACGTGAGTGTCCTCACCTTCCCCACCACCGCCGCCCCCTCTGCCCATGACCAGTGGCTTCCCTGGGGGTTCTGCAGGACAGAGAGGGAGGAAGTGAGGTCTGAGTGAATCAACTAAACCCTGGAGGTGGGGGTGGGGATGGTTTGGTAACTGGGGACACAGTGGAAGGGGGCCCTGGACCCCATCCCCAAGGCAAGGACACAGTCTCCTGCAGCCAGGGAAGGGGAGAGCAGATCTGGAACCCATGCTGGCAGCCGGAACTGTAGGTGTGGGTCAGGGCTCAGCATATGTGTGGGAGGCCAGGCAGGGGTCCCAAAGGGCCGAGCCCGTGTCTGGCATGCAGGAAGCCCTGGGTAGATCCCACATGGTCCCCCCACGCCCCCAGGAGCACCCCCAGAAGCAAGTTGGGAATAGCCCCCAAAGTACCCACCATGATGATGTGTCCATCATCCCTGTGGTGGTCCTCTGTGTCCTTATGCCTGATGCTGGTGAGGTTTAGCTCCTCTGCGAGTTCGTCTGATCTGCTCTGGTCTAGTCCGGTCTGGTTTGGTCTGGTCTGCTCTGCTCTGCTCTGATCTGCTCTGATCTAGTCTGGTCTGATCTGGTCTGGTCTGCTCTGCTCTGCTCTGATTTGGGGTCCACACTGGATCTTCACAGGCTACCCCAACTTTATGCTTGGGGTGGAGGGCACTGTCCCAGTGGTTCTGGGGCTCAAACCCGGGTGTCTCACATGCAGAGTCTGAGCTCAGCCCGTGGAACCACAGCCAGCCCTGACCAGACAGGCACAGCCATGTCTGCGGCGGTGAGCCCGGCAGAGAGCAGCGCCCCACTCGCCGGCTGCCCCCTCCTTGAACCTCCCCTCTGCCCTCCCCCACACTGCCTGCCTCCCTTTCTTCCTTAATATTTGGGGTCACACTGAACAGTAGGGGACAGCGGGGGCCTCTTGGCAGGGCCCAGGCATTGAGCTCTGTCTTCAGTTCATCTTCAGGTTTTCAACTATTTTTCATCGGGGACTGAGCGAGAGTCCAGCAGGGAGGATGTCTGCCTTGCGCATGACCAGCCTGGATTCGAGCCCTGACATCCCATAGGGTCCCCTGAGCTCCCCTAGGAGTGATTCCTGAGCACAGCGCCAGGAGTCAGCCCAGAGCACCACTGGGTGTTCTCCATCCCACAAAAGTCTAGTTTTAGTCATTGTAAAATAGGCAAGATACAAGAGTCAACACTCGGGGGGCTGGAAAGATAGGACAGTGGGCGGGGAACTTGCCTTGTAGATGGTCAACCCGGGTTCGATCCCCAGCACCCCACAGGGTTTATGCCCCGAGCACTTCCAAGAGAGAAAAGTTACCATCTTGAGGAATGGGGCATAAAATACTAACACAGCAAGGCGGGAAGAAGGGAAGCTCCTCCCCGCTTTCCGTCCTTACATGGAAAAATAAATAAATGAAAGGGCACAGCCAACTTAACACTTGGGTGGCAATGCCCAAGGGGCCCCTGTGCCCCACCCATGAGCCTCAGCACCACACTCCTGAGGCCTGAAGGAAGCTGGCGGGAAACCAGCTGCTGCTCACTCAGAAGCCACTTGCTCTGTCTCAGTGTGATGGTCCAAGGCGCCAGGGATGGGGTTCCTGGGAGAGAGGGGTGCAGAGACACGCCCGCCCACCCTCACTGCTCTTGTTACACGCAGAAAACGCTGCCAGTCTTCCCCTCCGACAGCCAAATCCAGGTGAAGGTGCTGAACACCTACCCGCAGTCCATGAACGTCATCTTCCCCACGGGTTCAAAGGAGCTTCCCTCGCTCGGGGTAAGTGCGGCCCCACCCTGGCCCTGCCCTCCCCTGGCCGCAGGTGGGCAGCTGCCTCTTCTTTCATTGTCTTGATCCGGTGCATCTCAGTGCCACTCTCTACCTGCAATACGGCCTCCCATCCATGGCCATGGTGTCACGATGGCAAAACCCCAATGTGGCCTCCCACCCGTGGCCACGGTGCCTTGGCAGCAAAGCCCCAATGTGGCCTTCCATTTGTGGCCATAGTGCCACAGCGACCAAGCCCCAACGTGGCCTCCCGTTAAGCAGCAAAGCCTTAATGTCGCCTCCTCTTCATGGCCGAGGTGCCAGAGCAATAAAGCCCCTTGTGGCTGCCGCCCCCTGCCCGCCCAGGGCCACTCTGAGTACATGCTGGCATCACCTGAGGGGAGCTTTGGGCTGCCCTGAATATGCTGGTTCCAAAGCCCAGGGAGACGTGGGTGGAACTGCCTCGTGCCTCTGCAACCCACTTTGAGAATTCCTCCCTACTCAGACCAAACGAACGGGCTGACTGGGGAGGAAGCCGTGGCCCTCCCAGTCTGTGGGCCAGCCCGGCTCGGTGCTCAGCAGGGCAGCTGCTCTGCCTGTTGCTTTACTCGAAGGTAGAAATGGCTCCCAGGGCCATGATAGGGGTTAAGGCACTTGCCCTGCCCGGGCCTCGCTAGGATCCGCCCCCCGGCACCACATAAAGGCCACCGAGCACTGCCGGGAAAGAGCTCCGTGTGCAGAGCCAAGAGTAAGCCCTGAGCCCTGCCAGGTATCCCCCAAAATCAAAAGGAGAAATGATGTTCTTAGCATTTCTCTGTGTACAGTGTGAAATGCGAGTCAAGTGCTAGATGAAAATCATCATGTTGGTTGGGGAATCTGGGTCGGGCCCATTTGGGGCCTGAGTGATTAGTGCCTTGCATGTGGCTGACCCAGGTTCCATCCCCGGCATCCCACAGGGTTCCCTGAGCACTGCCAGGAGTGACTTCTGAGTGTCGAGCTAGGAGTAATCTATGGGCATCGCTGGGTGTGGCCCCAAAGCCAATAAACCATTAAATAAATAAATAAATCGGGTCCCTTGGGGTGGGCGAGGAGCTGAGCTACCCCATGCCAGCCCCTGAGGTGTGCCCATGACTCCCCTTGATAGCGCACTAGTGCTGTGCTGAGTATGCCTCGGGCAGTGACGTACTTCTCCCGTCACAGGAACTCGATTATCAGACTTTTGATGTGGACAAGATGTCAACCATCACTATCACAGCCAACAGCATCTCAACTCCAGTTAATTACAACTTTGAGAAGGGCCAGCGCCATACTCTCGTGGTTTGGAACGCCACAAGTTACCTTGTGGTAAGCAGGGCCTGGTGTGTGTGTGTGTGTGTGTGTCTGTGTGTGTGTGTGTGTGCATGTGCACGTCACTGCATACCCATATACCCATGTGCTTTCAGGAATTTCTTTTTGTTCAGTTGGTTTTTTTTTTTTGCTTGGGGGGGGGGGGTCTCGCCTGACTTTGCTCAGGTGTCAATCCTGACTCTGCACCCAAGAATTAGTCCTGGTGGTGCTCAGGGACCGTATGGGGTACTGGGGATTGTCCCCGAGTTGGCCACATGCAAGGCAAGCACCTCACCCACTGTTCTATTGCTCCGGCCCCTGCATTTCTTTTTTGAGAAAGCTTTAAATAAATCTTTTGTAGTATTCATTTAAAACTTTCCACTGAGTGGTCAAAAAACTAGAACCATAGCTAGCAAAACTAGAGTGTCTCTCTCAGGTAAAAGCAGGAAGAACACATCATTTAAAAAGAACTCAGGGAGCCGGAGCAAGAGCACAGCGGGGAGGGCGTTTGCCTGGCACGCAGCCGACCCGAGTTCAATCCCCAGCATCCCATATGGTCCCCCAAGCACCGCCAGGAGTCATTCCTGAGTGCAGAGCCAGGAGTGACCCCTGAGCATCGCTGGGTGGGACCCAAAAGGCAAAATAAATAAAAATAAAAAATAAAATTAAAAGAACTCAGGATGTGGGCAGGGTGCTTGCCTGGCACACAGATGACCCAGATTCAATCCCCAAGGACCCTATATGATCCCCGAGCCGCACCAGTACTGATCCCTAAGCACAGAGTCAAGAGTCACCCCGAGCACCACCACGAGTGGCCCCCAAAACAAAACAATGTGATATTCATGACCAAAATGTGAGCGTGCAGATCATTCATATAGCTGAGAAAGGAAATGCAGAACTATGGTCAAAGCATCATTGAAGTCACAGGTATTTTGTCAGGGGAATTTTTTGTGAGAGGTGCTCATCCAGCGGTGCTCAGAGCCTACTCCTGGCTCAGGGGCACATAGGTCTGATCCCCAGTACTACGTAGTCCCCAAGCACCACCAGGTTTGACCCTCTTGAGTAAAGAACTGGGAATAGCCCCCCAAGTGCTGTCAAGTGCAGCCCCCCTCAGGGAAAGGGGGAAGTAATAGGTTCATGTGACCATGTGGCCCTTCGTCCTTAGAAATACTGGCACGACCCTCTTTCCCGAGGGCTCCCCCGGACTCCTTGTCATGGGTTCCATCTGAAATGTTTTCTTTCTCAGATCAAGGATGGCCTGACCCAGAAGCCAGAAAAAGGAGAAAATGGAATCAGGTGCGTACTCTTCTTTCAAACCCAACCTGGGCCAGCCTCTTGAAGAGGAAGGCCCAGCAAGGCGCAGCACACACTAACGGGAGTCTAGAGAGGGAAGAAAATGCAGTTTCCCCCGAGAACGGGAGTCTAGAGCAGGAAGAAAATGCAGTTTCCCCCAAGAACGGGAGTCTAGAGCATGAAGAAAATGCAGTTTCCCCCAAGAACGGGAGTCTAGAGCGAGAAGAAAATGCAGTTTCCCCCAAGAACGGAAGGCTGGCTCGGTGTGTCAAGGCCGTCAAGAAGCAGGGGCCGCTGTCTTAAACCATGAATGAGGAAATGGCGTGGGTCTAGCCAGGGACTGGACGGTCCTCAGGACGGCCCCAGGCGAGGGGCCGGAGTGATAGTACAGTGGGGAGGGCATTTGCCTTGCATGCGACCAACCTGGGTTCAATTCCTGGCATCCCATATGGTCTCCCGAGCACCGCCAGGAGTAATTTCTGAGTGCAGAGCCAGGAGGAACCCCTGAGCTGGGTGTGACCCAGAAAGCAAAAAACAAACAAACAACAACAAAAAAATAACCACAGGAGGCTAGGCTATGCCTGCTTCCCCCAAGCTCCTTTGGGCTCCTTTTGGTGTCGTGCAATAATAAACGGGCACCCACCCCGGCCTTCAGAAGGGCTGGACACTCTTTTAGGACCTGGGACTGTTTGTGCTTTGGGGTGTGTCCTGTGGGCCCCACCCCTTCGGAAGGGAGGTATGCCGGGGCACAACTGCCTCCTAGCAAGAGACCGTGGCCACGTACCTCCCTCGGTGCCCGATCTCCCCGAATCACAAGGCTCAACGTTTGCCACGTACTTGCTCTTCACGTGGACTCTGTGTGTGTACCCTGAGGTGCGTTCTCACGAGTAAATGGCAGGGGTCACACCTGGGCTTGCTGGTGGCCTCCTTTCCCCTCCAGAAAGCTGCCCTAAATGTCTTCAGTTCCTTCCCAGGGGCCCATGGTCAGCCTCGGGTGTGTGCTGTGACTTGGAGCGAGTGTCTGTGGTCCCGTGGTCAACCAATGTTTTTTTTTTCCCTTTCAGGTTCATCAATGCGTATGGGGGCAACCTGAACGTCATCATGGACTCAAAGATGTTTCCCAACATCAACTATCAAAACAGCAGCGAGTATCAGTTTTTCCCTTCAGGCGTGTAAGTACCTGAGATCAGGCACTTTGCTCTCATTTTCAGAGTTTCAGTGTTGTCATCTGTATTATTATCGTTGTTGACATCTGTCCTCATGGGTCATGCCCACCAATGCTCAGGAGCAACTTCCGGCTCTGTGTTCTCTCAGGGGTGCCAGCAGCTCTGGGGATTGACCCCGAGCCCCCGCAGGCAGAATGGGAACCACGCGGTGCAGAAGGGTGCTGGAGACCACCCGGTCCCCAGCAGCTAAACCAGCTCCTTGAGTCTCTGGGTCCAGAAGTCTTATGTCTTTCAACAATAGATGAAAACTTTTTTTTAAATTTTATTTTATTTTCACTAAGTAGTTCACAATATTTGATTACCTTTAATACTCGAACACCCATCCCACCTCCTTAACACCTTCCCACCACCATATTTTGCATGTTTCCATCCCGATTCCCAAACCCTGCCCCAAAGCAGAACCGAAATCATTTCGTTTGTGTTGTTATGAATAGCACTGTAGTACTGTAGCACGGTCCTCCCATTGTTCATCGATTTGCTTGAGTGGGCACCGGTAACGTCTCCATTGTGAGACTTGTTGTTACTGTTTTTGGCATATTGAATAAGCCACGGGGAGCCTTGCCAGGCTCTGCTGTGCAGGCGGGATATTCTCTGGTAGTTTTCCGAGAGGGATGGAGGAATCGAACCTGGGTTGGCTGCATGCAAGGCAAAAGCCCTATCCGCTGTGCTATTGCTCCAGCCCATATAAATAAATATATATATATATATACACAAATATCTGTAAAAATATATTTCTCATACTCTTGGAGTATGAGTGGTGTGAGGTATGAGTTGTTGCACAGTGCAGGGATAGGTTTACTCGTGGGTGAGGCATGGCCCAAGTGTCTGGAGAGTGGCCTTGAGAATGGCAGTGGTTCAGTTCTGGAGGTTTTCAGCTGCCAGGGCTGGGTCCCATGGGGTGGGGAGGAGATCGAAACTTTTATTATCAGGAATTGTTAACCAATATTCTTCTTTCTTTTTTATAGAAAATCTATCATACTGAACTCAACAGAGATTCCATCTAATTGTATAAGCAGCTTCGAGTCTATCAAACTCCAATTTGGCAGTGCCTATACCTACGTGATCCACAGATCTTCGGTAATTCCTCCCTCAGTACCGGGATAGGCACAGAGTCATAGCACAACGGGCAGGGCGCTGGCCTGGGTTTGATCCCCAGCACCCTCCCCCCAAGTCCTGCCAGAGAGTCAGCCCTGAGCATAGAGCCAGGAGTCAGCCCTGAGCACCACCAGGTATGGGTCCAAACCGTAAGACCAAGTCTGGGGACTTGAACTTGACAGTTGATTGAGTCAAGTTTCTTCACCACAGCAAGTTTTACACGCATGCTATGAGGGTCTGTCAGGGGCTTAGGAAGAAACCAGCACCTGCTCACCTTCCCCACCATTCATGATGGGCATGGCCGGCCACCGGAATGGCCAGCACAGATTGGCTTGATCTGACCCGGTCCTGGTTCTAAGACTGGAGGGTCCCATTCACCCCAACCTGCAGACCTGACCTCCCGCCCTGCAGACCTCTCCTCAGGTCTGGCAGGGAACATGCCAGTGCGGACACTCCCAGCCTCAGAGCTCCCTGGGTCACCCTGCACTGGGCCCCAGGCAGCCTCCAGACAGGAAATGGTCTGTGGATTGGGGCGGCGCGGGTTCCAGAAGCTTCCTCACTCTCCTCACCTCTTCCCGTTCCCCCCAGAACAACTGCCCAGAGCTACTGATGCCGTCCAATGACATCGCCCCGAACACGGTGAACATGGCACTGCAGATCCCACAGTACTTCCTGCTCACCTGCGGGGAGGTGGTCTTCTCCGTGACCGGGCTGGAGTTCTCCTACTCGCAGGTTTCCTCTCGCTCTGGGTTTTATCCCTTCTTCCCCTGCCTTCAAAGCAGCACTGCTGGGGGTGGGGGGTGAGGGGCGTTAACACCTGGCTGACCGTCAATGCCAGCATGGAACATTCTAGAAAGTTGAGGAGGCCGGCAAGACCATCCATGGGTGAGATGCTTGCCATGCATGTGGTCGACCTGACCCCGGGTTCGAATCTCCAGTATGCATATCACCCGCCTAGGGTCCCCCAAACGCTGCCAGGAGCCAGCCCTGAGCACAGGGCTGGGAGTCAGCCCTTAGCATCACTAGCTGTGGCCCCAAAAACAAACTAGAAAGCGTTATGGTGCGTTCCACAGAACGTGAGTTGGAGATCCTAAGTCTTGTTCCTATTGAGGAAGAATGTCGCTCTGGTTAGCTGAGTGACTCCATGATCCCGGCACCACACACGAAAAATTTCCAGTCCTGATTAGAGCAAATTCAATATGTGGCAGTGACTGGAGTCACCTGGTCCAGGCCCTGAGTTCTGAAACAGCCAAATGCTGTCAGCCTTTTCTCAGCGCTACCATGCCCAGGTCTGTGTCCTTCCAGGGGAACTTGGGGCTGGAGTGTCCAGGAAACACAGTACTACAGTGGGGATGGCACTTACCTTGCATGCGGCTGACCCGGGTTCTATCTCAGACACCACATTTACTCTCCTGAGCCTTCCAGGAGTGATCCCTGAGCACAAAGCCAGGAAAAAAGATCTGAATATTGTTGGGTGGGGCACAAAAACAAACAAACAAAAACAAAAAACCCACTGATTGCAAGTCAAAAAGAGGCCCGGAGAGATAGTACAGTGGGTAGGGAGCTTGCCTGGCGTGCAGCCAACCCCAGCATCACATATACCCAAGCACTTCTTGGAGTGGAGAGCCAGAGCGAGCCTTGAGCATCGCTGGGTGTGGCCCCCAAACACAAGAAAAAGTCAAAAACAGTACGCTGGGCCAGGAGAGAAATCGGAGGCCTGAGCTCTCTGTGTGGAAGCCCAAAATGAGCCCTGGCACCGTAGGGTGCTCCAGGCACTGCCGGGTATGGCCCCCCCAAACCAAAACCAAACAAAATTAGTTGGGGGCCCAAAGAAACAGCACAGAGGTCAAGACTTGCCCTGCACACAGCTGTCCCGGGTTGATCCCTGGCACCCCACATGGCCCCCGACCTCCTCAGGATTGATCCCCAAGCAGCGTCAGCCAACTCCCACCCACCCCGAGTCATGTCTCTTTCGTGACCGTTGGGATCCACAAGGCCCCTCTCTGCTGACTCAGAGCCCACAGGGCCGTTTCTGAAATTCTTTTTGCCAAACTCCTTCCACCAGCTACTACACCTTGTCCTGTCAGATTTCCCAGGAAAGATGATAGTTTGGACCTGGACAGTCCTTCAAAGAGGGGGCCTTCCAAGTGTACACACGTGTACACACACACACACACACACACGCATGCACACGGACACAGGCACGCACACACACACATATACGTATGCACACACAGGCGCACATGCACACACAATGCACATACACATGCACACGCAGACGCAAGCGTGCACGCACACACCCATATGCACACATACATATGGACACACGTGCACGCACACATGCAGGGGTCAGTCTCAAGCACAGCCCAGGAGTGGGTGAAGAGGCGCTCATGCACACAGTTCACCTACCCAGCTCACCTGCCCCCTGCCCCCTTGCCTGGAGCGGCCCCTGGCGGGCAGAGAATACCGACCCTCGGCCCTGCCGGCGTCACTGTGCATCGGGCAGCAGGGGGCGCTCTGACCCAGTCCTCTCCCCTTCCCCAGGCGCCTTCCAACATGAAGTCCGTGCTGCAGGCCGGCTGGCTGCTGACCGTGGCCGTGGGCAACATCATCGTGCTCATCGTGGCGGGGGCCGGCCAGTTCAGCGAGCAGGTAGGGCTTGCGCGTGCCAGCTGCCCTCCAGCCAGACCAGCCCTGGTGACCCCGCTCCCCGCCCCCTCTGTCCACATGCATGGTCATCACAGCCGATGACCAGCCCCTGAGCGTGGTCCTGGGCCCCAGCTTGCTACGATACAGCAGAGAGTGGACAAGCCAAAAGGCCCTGTGAGGTCACTGTGCTGCGTTGGAACACCCCCCTCCCCCCCCCCCCCCACACACACACAGACACACCAGGGTGTTTGAGACTGTTATGTCTGCCATCTGGTATGTGAGAGCATGAGCCACACGGGGCCCCTGAGCACAGCCAGGTCTGTCCCCGCTCCCCTGCAGAGAGAGAGAGGGAGGAGGGAAGGGGAGAGAGACAATGGGGAGAGAGAGAGGGAGAAGGAGGAAGAGAGAGGGGGAAGAGGGAGAAGGAGAGGGAGAGGCAGAGAGGGAGAGCGGAAGGGAGGGAGAGAGGGGAGAGAGGGAGAAGAGAGAAAGGGGGAGAGATGAAGAGGGAGGGAGAGAGGAAGAAAGAGGGAGGGAGAGGGGGAGGGAGAGAGGGAGGGGGGAGGGAGAGAGGAAGAGAAGAAGAGAGGAGGAGAGAGAGAGAGAGGGAGAGAGGGAGAGAGGGTGAGGGAGAGAGATGGAGTCTTCCCGGGTGCTTGGTCTGGTAGCCGTGACCCAGCGCCCTCGCGCCCCCCTCTGACCTGGCCCCCCGCTGTCCCCACCCCCACAGTGGGCCGAGTACATCCTGTTCGCCGCCCTGCTCCTGGCCGTCTGCGTGATCTTCGCCATCATGGCTCGGTTCTACACCTACATCAACCCCACAGAGGTGGAAGCTCAGTTTGATGAGGATGAGAAGAAAAAGGGCCTGGGGACAGGGGCTGTGTCACCCACCGCCCCGACCGTCACCCAGACGAATTTTTGAAGGTCAGACGCCAGGACTGGGCTCAGGACAGGCCCTGCCGAGGCTGGCTGAGGGGAGAAGGCGGGACTGTGGTCCCAGGGAGCGAAAACAGCGATGCACCTCCACCTCCCAGTCTTGTTTTTAAATAAATCTTATTTAAAGCCCGCGCGCGCGTACACACACACACACACACACACACTGTGATGCTAAGAAAGGACACTGCATTTCAATCCTTCCTACACAGTAAATGAAGTTATACATCTGGGGAAAGGAGATCAAGTTTCCGGTTGCGTCCCAATGCTCTAGGAGATAGTAGCTGGGTGGAAGCACCTGTCCCAGTTCCCAGCCTCAGCAACACATATGGGCCCCCAGCACGGCCAGGAGTCAACCCTGAGCACAGAGCCAGGAGTCACTCCTGAGCACAGAGCCAGGAGTCAACCCTGAGCACAGAGCCAGGAGTCACTCCTGAGCACAGAGCCAGGAGTCAGCCCTGTGTGTGCTGCACACATGGCCGGGTGTGGCCCCAGCCCCTCAAAGAGTAAATAAATAAACCCTTTTCAAATGAGGTTATAAGTCAATAGACCACTCAGGGAAAGGCCAGTGATCACTTTTTGGCGATTCAATGGTACAAAATAAATTATCTTTCTTAAGAGTGAGCGTGCACGTGTCTTTGGGCAAGGGGAGAAATCGCCTCTGTTTCCGCTTCGGAAGGTGCCAGCCTCGTGTGTCCCCTTCATCGAGGGATGCTGCCCCCAGCGGGGCCCACTTCCGGGCAGCATCGGGCCCGTTCTGCCCACGCCCTCTTCCCCGGGCATCTGGGGGTGCAGCTGCACTTCCCTTGCCTGCTCCGTCTCATCTCCCAGAGGCTCTGTCGATAGTCCTGAAGGGTTTCCTCAGGAATGAAGGTGCTTCGGGAACACGGCCAACACTCAGCGCTCACTTCCCTGCTGTTCCGGAGCTCATTCTCCCGTGGAAGCCCCGTGGACAGCAAGCGAGGGTCCTTAGAGAAACGGGGGCACAGTCTGGCTCCTGGAGGAACCGCCAAGCCGGGCGTCTGACGCAGCTCATCGCTGCCCCGTGGACGTGAATGGGTGCAGGCACGTGTGCATGCGTGTGCATGCGTGTGTGTGCACAGAGGAAGGGGGAGAGTCCGTGCAGAGAAGCACAGCTGGGCTGAGCAAAAGCCTTTCCTGCTCTCGGGTCAGGTCCACCGTCCCTAAGGGACACACATCCCCGTCCCCCCCCGTCCCCGCCCTCCCTCCCACCTCCCTCTTTTTCCTTTTCTGGGGGGAGGAGCGCACCTGGTGGTGCTCAAGGTTGCTCCTGCCAGTACTCAGGACTCAGGGGCCAGGGATGGAACTCGGGCCAGCTGCATGCAAAGCAAGTGCCCTCCCCACTGTCCTACCTCTCCAGCCTGTCTGTCTGTCCTCCCATCTTCCATCCCACTCAGCCAAATGGGGCACCTGGAATTGAGCTCCTGACCCTTGCAACGTGAGGGTGGGTCAGCTGCTCTGACCCTGCGTGGTCCCCAGGCTCTTTCCTACTGCCCGCTTCCCACTCAACCCGCCAAGAGTCACTTCCCACCCCAGGAACACGGGGTCTCGCACCCAGCCCCTCCCTTCTCTGGGCAGGAGGCGGGTGGCTGTATCCCCTCGCATTCATGCGGCCACTCTCCCCATGCATCGAGGCATGCATGCATTCATTCATTCACTCATTCATTCATTCACTCCCTCTGCCTCTCCCACACAGCAGGAAGACAGCATTCATTCATTCCCTTGTTCATTCACTCTTAATTCGCTCTGCATCTCCCCATGCAGCACACAGATGGCATTCATTCATTCACTTGTTCACTCATTTATTCCCGCTGTGTCTCCCCATGCAACATGAAGACAGCATTCATTCATTCACGTGTTCATTCATTCATTTGTTCATTCATTCATTCCCTCTGCGCCTCCCCCATGCACCAGGAAGATGGCATTCATTCAGGTGTTCATTCATTCATTCGTTCCCTCTGCATCTCCCAGCAGGAAGGGGGCATTCACTTATTCACTCATTCACTCATTCCTTCATCTCTGTTCTCTCTGCTCCTCCTCTTGCAGGAGCCCACGTCTGCCCCTCAGGAGAGCGCCTGGACCCGACATCCGGGGCTGGTCACAGACAGTGGCTGTTTGACTCAGGCCTGCAGGGACAAGTCCCCTGGTGGGTCTATGGGTTGGTGCCTGTTAGGTCTGGGTTGGCAGAAAGCTCTAGAAGCCCCAGTCCCTGCCCTGCCTGCCCTGAGCCAGCTGCTCCGCGGGGCGTGCCATCCCTGGGCACGGGCTGTGGGCGCTGACCGCGCGGGGCCAACAGTGCCATGCCAGTGTCCAGCGGGAGGACGGAGGGGCGCAGGGACCGGCTGGGCCGGCTCTCCCCGAGGACCCTACCAGGCCCCGCAGTCCCTCTGCTCAGGGATTCCTGCTTCCGAAATCCTGGAGCGTGAGGCTGGAGCAGCGGCAGGGCCCAGTCAGATGACTGCAGGCGTCTGGCCCAAGGGCTGCTGCTGCCCCTTGTGACCGGGTGAGGTCACGCACCAGCCAGACTGGGAAGTTCCCCCATTCGGCCATGCGATGGCAGCAGAGTCCGTCCCTGGGGCAATCTGGGGGCATCCAGGACTGGGGGGGGGGGGCTGCATTTCATTTTTTTTTAAGAAATTTTAATTTATTTATTTTTGCTTTGGGGGGGTCACATTGGCGATGCTTGGGGGTTCCTCCTGGCTTTACACTTAGGAATTGCTCCTACCCATGCTTGGGGGACCCTACAGGGTGCCGGGGATTGAACCTGGGTTGACCGTGTACAACCCGCTGGACTATCGCTCTGGCCCCGGGGGGGCGGGGGGTGGGGCTGGGGGACTGCATTTCTGTTGCGCCCAGCAGAGGGACAGACTCATGCTAGCACCAGCCCAGAAGGGGGCGTGCCAGCTGCATGTGCCCTACCTGCTGCCGTTTGCAGGGGGTTTTGAGGGGGATTGCTCAGGAGGCTTCTTCCAGCAGGGATGGGGGACCAGGAGCTTCCGGGGCGGGGATCCAACCCAGGCATCACAGGGGCTAAGTCTGTGCTTGGGTGCTTTGCGCCATCTCCGCAGAGCAGCTGCCCTGATTTACCCAGGTCCTCAAGCGTCACTCACTCACTCCTCCGTGACCACAGCCTTTGCCAGCCTGCAGACTGTCCCCAACCACCAGTGGCAGCCAAGGGTGGACAGTGCATTTCCAGCCGTCTGCATGCCAGCCCACTGGCATGCAGGGGTTGAAGGCCACTGAAATACTGATTTTGCTTCTGATGCTTTTCAAGTGCTGATGCGGACGGGTAAGGAGGTTTAGACTCAGACTGAAGTGAGCGCAGCGGGGAGGGCGTTTGCCTTGCAGGCAGCTGACCAGGATTCGGTCCCTGGCACCCCATATGGTCCCCTGAGCAGCACCAGAAGTGGTTCCTGGGTGCAGAGCCAGGAGAAACCCCTGAGCATCACCAGGTGTGACCCCCCCCAAAATAAACCCAAACAAACAAACAAAAAAGGCTTAGAATAAAATAAGCCAGAGTAAAGGGGCAGAGAATGGTGGAGGCTGGCGTTT